GCAGACCCCCTACCTCCAGCAGGCCGATGCCCAGGCAGATCCCCACGACGGTGACCAGGTTTTCGGCCAGCCAGCCCTTGACGCTCTCAGCGCAGCCCTGCCGGGAGCGGGGTGACAACCGGGGGGGCTGCTTGGAGCCCCCAGGCCACAACCCCCCTGTTTCTCTGCACTCCCCCAGAGCTCCAGGACCCCCCTGAGCCCCCCGTGCTGCACCTGCTGTGCCTTACCATGGGGAAGATGTCCTGGGAGGCAGCCATGGGGCAGAAGCCATGGGGCAGTGCTGGGGGGGAGCCATGTGTGCCGTTGGGCGCCAGCGCCTTGAGGCAGGAGCAGGCGATGGCCCCGTCCCCATCCCTGGGGGGGCCGTCGAGGCGGTTCCAGTCCTGGGGTCCATTCCAGCCACAGCAAGCAAGCTGGGGGCAGGTTGTCAGTGGGGCGGCCGTGAGGCTGAGGGGCCCCCCTGGGCCCTGTGAGGTCTCACCTGCTGCTGGATGGCATCCCAGCTCTCATGGGGGTCCCCGGGTGGTCCCTGGGCTGGGTACCCCCGGATCAGCTCCTGCACGTAGGTGGCCACCTTGGCGGCCAGCTGCAGGAGGGGTGAGCACAGCACTCAGCGGCTGCAGCATCACCCCACGGCTCTGCCCCATGGCCCCAGTGTTGTTCCCCCATGGTCCCCCCCGCACCGCCAGCACCCCCGGCAGTGCCGCACTCACGGTAACACGCTGCGTGTAGACGATGACCGCCACCGTGATCTGGGCAGCAAAGAGCAGCAGCAGGATCCCAAAGTACTGGAAGGCAGGGGGGGGAGGTTGGGGTCAGCTGGACCCCCACAGCCCCATGGCACCAGGGGAGCACAGAGGGGCCAGCGCTGTCCCCCCCGCCGCCCCACAAGCGCAGGATGTGGTGAAACCACGTGGCCCCGCGGCTGCCCCAGGAAATTGCAGCAGAACACCCCCCCCGCCCTCCAGCCGGGCCCCCAATTCTTGGTCCCCCGGCCCCCCAGCCCGCCCCACTCACCAGCAGCAGCATGGCCTTGATCTCCTTGAGGGCGCCCAGGCATCCCAGGAAGCCCAGCAGCATCGTCACGATGCCGACCCCCGAGAAGATGTAGGACCAGACCCGCAGGCTGTACAGCGGCGACCCTGGGGGGGTGCGGGGGGTCAGGGCACCCCACGGCTTGGGAACGCCCCACGGCTTGGCTTGCCCCATGGCTCAGGGGTCCCTTACCCAGCACGGCGGCAAAGCTCTGCCGGTCGAAGAGGACCCAGAGGCCGAAGGCGAGGAGGAGGCTGCCCAGGGCCTGGGCGGGGGGGGCCGCAGAGGGGCTCGGCCCAGGTCAGCTAGTCGGGGTGCCCTGGGGCCTGCCCAGCTCTGCAGCTCCCACAGGCCCCAGGAGATTGCTGGCCCCCAACCAGCCCCCCACAACAGCATGGTTGGCCCCCCCCAGCCCCAAG